CTCCAACCCCTGCACCCAGGCAAAGTTCTCCATCTAAATCATCAGCATCCCACGCCAGTGACCCCACCACAGATGACATCTTTGAAGAGGGCTTTGAAAGCCCCAGCAAAAGTGAAGAGCAGGAAGCTGTGAGTAATGACTTTTTGGACCTTTTATCACCCAGCAAAATAAATACAAAAATAGATTTCTGGAATATCCAGTCCTGGGTCTGAGGCATAATCATAGAGGACTTCCCAGGACAATATTTGTTTATTTTTACTCCCTGATCCAGAAGCAAAAGGTTTGAAGGGGAAGTCCATAAAAGGGGTTTCTTCTCTTTCCTTTTCCTTCCTTTCTTCCTTCATCCTTTCTTTCTTCCTTTCCTTCTTTCTTTCCTTCTTCCCTTCCTTCCTCCCTTCATTGCTTCTTTCCTCCCTTCTTCCCTCCCTTCCTTCTTCATTTTATCATCATTCCCTCTCTCCTTTCCTTCCTTTATCCTCCCCCATCCATTACTTCCTTCCTTTCTTCCTTCCTTCTTTCTATTTTTTCTAAAGGCATTATCTGTGAATCCTGGGCACTTTATCAATTGAAAAGAAACAAGGCCATACTTTCCATGGCTGTGTTCCCTTTCCCCGGATTTGTCTCCTCCCTCTCAACAATGAACTTTATTTACAGCACGATGATAATCCACTACTGTCTTCCCACTTGATTCTATTGAGAAGAACCACAACAAAAAGGTGTTATGTTCTTGTATTTTAGCCTGATGGGTCTCAGGCCTCATCCAGCAGTGATCCATTTGGTGAGCCCAGTGGTGGGGACCCCAGTGGTGATAATATAAGTCCAGAGGTCGGTAGCTAGATAGCGCAGGTTGGGGTAGGTATCTGGCCTTTATTTCTCTTTTGCCCTTTGCCTGCCTGCTGCTCCTCTTCCCACTGTCTGCCATCCCTGCTCCTTCTCTGGATCTCCTCTCCCTGCTGTGTCTCTTCCCTCAGTGCTTGTATTCTTTCCCACATCACTCCTCTTCTGGCTTCTGCCCAGCAACTGCATGGCCTGCCATTTGCTATGTGTTTGAAGGGATGGGACTTTGTGGATTTCCCCATAAAACGTGTCTGCATGTTGGGCCAGGGAGGGAGGATGAAAACCTAAAGGAGGTGGGCTAAATATATTAATGGAATGGACTTTGTTTCACCTGTGGCAATGAGATGTGAAAGTAACCTTGCAAAGTTTGCTATGACTGTCATATGTCTGTGTTCCAACACAAGGGTAGTCATAGGACCAACCACAATGTCCCAACCAAAATGCCAGGCCCAGTGAGCCTGTAGCTTTCCTATTGAGAAGAAATAACAGCAGCATGGCATAATGGAAAGGGCACTGAATTTGGAATCAGGGAACCTAGGTTTGATCCTGACTCTGTTACTTACCTGCACAGGTGTGACCCTGCACAGGTGACCCTTCATTTCTCTAGACCTCAGTTGACTCATCATTAAAAAGGGGGGTCAAATTATACAACCTCTAGCATCCCTTTCGGCTTGAAATCTGTGATCCTATGAGGGTAACAATGATTTAAAATATACCTGTTTCATTTACAGCTGTCCCATTGGCAGAGAGCTTTCCTCTACCTGCCAGCCATTTGGGGCTCAGTTGTAAGCCCATTCACATTGGGGTTTCAGGGAAGTGGAGTAAAAAGAGCACAGGACTTGAGTCTGATTCCTTGTTCTACTGCTTGGTACCTGAAACATCCTTCTTTGGGTCTCACTTTCCTCATTTCTCCAGGGAAAAGATTGTAGCAGATAATCCAGGGCCCTTTAAAATCTGGATCCTTTAAGAATCATCCAATTATTGTCCTAATTTTCCAGCTGAGAAAACAGAGACTCAGAGAAATTAAATGACTTACCAATGTTCCTTAGCTAGTAAGTAAAAGATGGAAACCCAAAATAAGGAAACCCAAAAAGTCCATGTACCTAGAAATAAGTTCAACTTGTCAGTTATATTTCCTTTGGCCTAATTCTTTTGCCTTGGGCAAGTCACTTGGTCTATCAAGACCTCAGTTTCCTCATCTGGATGACCTGAGTTCCTTTGCAGCTCTAAATTTATAATGCTTATTGCAGCATCTTCACAGCGAGCCTTGAATTAAAAGTCCAAAGATGCATGTCTTTGCCTTCAAAGCGTTGGAGAGGCACCTCACTCTCTATACTATGTCATCGCTTCCAACCCAGCTCTCCAATATTAAACATTCTTGCAATGCTTACTCGTCCCTGAAGTTACTCCATTTCTGCAGAAGGCCCTCTTGCGCTTGACATTCAATGCAGCCCCTCTCTTCTCCAGAGAAGGCTGCCATTCTGGAGAGAGTGGATCCCACTGGTTCCCCAGCTCTATTTTATGAGGTCACCAGCTATGTTCAGTTTTGATATGTTCCACCAGTTCTTCCATTCTGGTGTATGGTGGGAGCTCACAGCCACCCAGTGATACAGTTTTCATCCTGACTTGCATGAGCCAATCCATTTAGCCAGTAAATTGTGATCAGTATCCTGAAATACATTCAATGACATCTTGGTGCCACTCTCTGAGCATCTGCTACTTAGACCATTATTTAAAATGAACAAAACACCTTAAGTGTATTTAGTTACTAGAGTTTATGATTAAAGGATTTAAGCTATGGTATGTTTTCACATTTTTATACTAGGAAAAGAGGCCAACAACCCAAGAGCCATAATCACACTAGAAATATTTAACCTCTTCAAATCTGCTTTTTTCTAAATTCAGCTCAGGTCCACTTTCTGGAGTATTTCTCAGCCTCTCAGTTCTTTCCCTTTGAGATGAATTTCCATCTATTTCATATACATTTTCTATGTACTTAGCAATTCACAGGTCATCCCCCCATGAGAACATGAGCTCTCTGAGGACAGGGATCATATGCCTTTCTTTGTAACCCCAGTACTTAGCTCAGTGCTGACATACAATATAAAGAAAGTGTTTTAAAAAATGGTTGTCGATTGGTGGATTGCCAAGGGTTTCTATAGCTGAGGAATTAAAGGTTATGTGCATGCCTTGGTAGGAGAGTTGGAAAGGAAGGAAGGAATCATGGTGCCATTCTTTGTGCATTAGTCTCTGAGAGGGCCTCTTCCCAGGTAGTTTTTCATAACCTCAACCTTGCCTTGAAAAATGTGTAATTGATGAATAGGGGCATCTAGGTGGTACAGTGAATAGAGCTCTGGCCTTGGAGTCAGAAGGACCTGAGTTCAAATCCAGCCTCAGACACTTAACACTTACTAGCTGTGTGACCTTGGGCAAATCATTTAACCCCGATCACCTCACCAAAAGAAAAAAAAAACATGTGATGAATGAACAATAGGTGACAGGGACTGTTCTTCCACTAAACAATAGACATCATTCTGATGCAGAAACCCTTCAGGAAGAACTCTGTGGTTTAAATTGGTGACAGATCTGTGCATTGAGGCACTATCTTCCTCAAGAAGGCCATTCAGTTTGAGACAGTGGCCCACTTCCACTCTTTCGCTGACACTTCACCTTTAATGATTATCAAGTGGGCTTCTAGCTAACATACACCCCCAACCCTCACTTGAGTTGTTGTGAGTTGTTTTGTTTTGTTTTATAACTGTAAAGCATCAAGAAAGTTCAAATTGGGAAGGGACCTCTGAGGTTCTTGAGGCCAACCCTGGATGGCTCCTTTCCAAATCAATTCTTCCTCTCCTCTCTTCTATTAGGTCCACTTAGCTCAAATCATTTTGACTCAACAATAATCAATTCAATGAGCTTTTATTGAGGGCCTACTGTGTGTCAGGTGCTATCCTTCATATTTGCTTATGCCAATTGAGTTCTCCCTCTCCCTATTCACAGAATCCTTGAATCCGAGTTAAAGGGACCTCAAAGGCAGTCAGCTCAACCACATCACAAAAAAGAAATGACCTCTAAAGCATGCCCAGTGAGTGGCTATCTGATTTTGACTGAAGGAGGGATTACGATAAGTGTCCAGTGGTTGGGAAAATCACATTTTTAAAAAAATGACAAAATGTTGGTGCTTTAAGCATTTAAGCCGTCAATAAATACTGCTGTATGCCAAGCACTGTACTAGAAATAACCTTTATACCCCAACCAGCCAGAGAGGCTTCTCTTGTTGCAAAGAAAAGAAATTAAGCAAATCCTGCTAGGATAGTTAATGTGTTGACAGTACAGGCAAGAGTCAGTACTCATAAGTCTTTCAGATTTTTGTTACACAAAACTTCTTCTGCCTTAATATATTCTCATTCTCTGTCTCTCTGTTTCTCTCTGTCTCTCCCCCTCTCTCCCTTCCTCCCTCCCTCTCTCTTCCTTCTCCTTTGTAGTCTTAGACTTATCGTCCCATTGCTGCAAACACCAAGAGGTTAAGAGATTTATTTATCATGACTCATCTAGTACATATCAGGGGAAGCATTTGAACCCAGATCTTCCTAATTCAAAGTGAACATCCACCCACCCATCCGTCCATCTTTTTGTTGTACCACACTGCTTGATCTTCTTCATTTTATACTTCCAGCTCATAGAGATCTTGCTAGTTTACTAATTGTGTGCTCTACAGCAAATTACACTCCCATTCTGGGCCCCAGTTTCCTCATTTGTAAAAAGAGAGACTAGGGCTAGAAAAGGGATTTTCAGCTTTTTTATGTCCAGAACCCCTTTGGCAGTCTGGGAAAGCCTAGGGACCCTTCTCAGAATCAACTTCTTAAATACATGAAATAAAATTAATAGGATGATAAAGCAAAGCAATTAGAATGAAACACAGTAATTAAAATTTATTTCTTAAAAGTTCACTGATGGTAGGTTAAAAATTTTTAGACCAGATGAGCTCTAGGTTCCTTTTCCAGCTCAAAGGATCATAGTTACTTCAAGTTGACAAGCATGCATTGAGTAAGGGTTTAACAAGCCAGACAGGTCAACTTTGATAAAGTGACACAGATATGCAACTGTGGCCGTTTCAATAACTGCCTGGGAAAGAGCCCCATTTCCCAGGATCCTTTTATAGACAAAATGGAAAGAGCTCTGCAAGGACAAATCTCTTCTGTTACATTCATGTCTAAAATCAGAAATCACCATTCCCAAATTTAGAATATGCATCCAGCTCTGCCCATAATTTTGCTGTTGCTGTCTGCCGTAACCTCCTAAGATGGCGTGGTCACTTCCTCTCAAGGATCCGGTATTTCCTTGGGTAACCGGTTTCTCCATATCAGTCAGAATAAAGTCTAGAGTAGGGTGGCTAGGTGGCACAGTGGATAGAGCGCTAGGCCTGGAGTCAAGAAGACTTGAGTTCAAATCTGGTCTTAGACACTTACTAGCTATGTGACCCCAGACAAGTCACTTAACTCCACTGCCTAGCCAAAAAAATAATAATAAATGAAAATAAATGAAAACACTATCTGTTGAAGCTATCCTGTTGTACCCAGCCTCCATTTGACTGACAGAGAATCCATCACATTTTTGTTATTCTCCTGGGCACTTTCCTCTTCAGTAGTATCAGAACCTTAACTTTCAGCTACACATTTCAGCACCTTTGTCTTCTAGATGGGGCTGAGTGTGATCTTTAATGGGACAGGGTTTTTTTGTTTTTTGTTTTTTTTCTTTTTCCCCTTTGAAAGGTTATCTTAGAGATTTCAGAACTACAGATCAAGGATAGCACATCACATGGCCATTTCCTCTATAGGGTGATGGCAAATCAGCTGATCTATCTTGCAAGACTCCCCCCCATAAAGAGCTCACATAATAAGCCATCCAAAGGCAACCCATTCTTAAGTGCCCAAATGTTATTGCCTTTTCTTCAAATATATTCATTGCTTTCGTTATTTGTTATTCAGTCATTTTTCAGTCATGTCCAACTCTTT